ACCTGAAACATACAACAGCTGAAATTTAAAACTACACTGGGTACACCTCACAGCAGAGTGAAGAAGGAAGAGCAGTGAGCCTGAAGACACATCAACAGAAATTACCCAATCTGAAGAAGAAGAAGAAATTTTAAAAAATTTAAAAAACCCTGTGAAACAGCCTCAAACAGTTTAACATATTTGGAACAGCAAGTGTGGAAGGAAAAGAAAATAATACTAAATCACAAAAATGTTTTGAAAAAATAATCAATAATAACTCACAAATTTGATTAAACAACAACAACAACAACAAATAACTTACAGATAAAAGAATCTCATAAAATCCCCAGCAGGATAAATACAAAGAAAACCATATCTGGGCACACAATAGTTAGGGCGATAAAAAAAAATAAAGAGAAAACCTTGAAATAAGCAGGAAAAAAAGACACTTTGCATACAAAAGAACAAGGATAAGAAAATCCCTGACTTCTAAGCAGAAACAATGGCAGACAGAAGACAATGGGACATCTTTAAAATGCTGACAGACAAAATTTGCCAACTCAGAATTCTACACCTGTGAAAATAAAATCCTTCAAAACAGAGGATAAAATGAAAACATGCCTCTCCATTTGCAGGGGAACAAATGTGCATGCATAATGCCAACCTAAGACTTTCTAATCGTGCATCTTACCAATGGGGTGGCAGCCACCCTGAGTGCTGGCAAAGACTAATGAGGTGACCCCCTAGAATCCTTATCAGAGCACCTGGCAGTAGGCCAGACATGAGTGCATCATCGTTATTCCAGTAACAATTATTATCCCACAATATGGAGCCCAGCAGCTTGGCTCTCTGTCCTTGGGGAGACCATGTTGATATTGAGCTTCTCCATCATAATGGGGGCCCTGTGCTGTGGCGAGTGTGACTGAGCTTGTATGGACACCAGACAGCATATTTACCGGGGACGGGGGTCCCCTGGCCTCAACTGACTGCCCCTTCCCATCTAACTGAGGCTCCGTTTCCAGAAAACACATAGTCTGCTGAGTCATAGGGAGCCTCTGGCCGAGAAGGAGTTTCCAGACCCAAGAATCTTCACCGGGAAAACTCTAGAAAGGTCGACAAGAGTGGGAGGTGGAGGAAAAATCTCCAACAACCACGAGGAAGACACCAGGGTAGCCTGTGGCCGGGATGCCCGTGGCCCAGGTATAAAGGTGGCCTGGGAAAGTAGCCTCCAGACATCACCACCCTCCACCCCGACCCCACCAGCCACCTGCCCCCATGTGCCACACCAGCTGCTCCTCGGGTGGCCCATGAGCCTGCCCTGGCCCCTGTGCTGTGTCCCCACCTGCTGCCCACCCCAGGGCTGTGGGAACTCCTGCAATCGGGTGGCCTCCTGTGTCACTCTACTGTGTTGGCCCGTGTGTGGCATGTCTGTCCCCTCCAGCCAGCCTGCAGCTGCCAGTCCCTGTGCTGCCTATGGAGCTGAGGCCAGCCTGCTGTGTGCCCAGCCCCTGCCCAGTGTCTGTGTGCGTGACTGTGAGTCGCAGGCCCGCCATGTGCATGCCCGTGAGCTGCAGGCCTGCCATGTGTGTGCCCGTGAGCTGCTTGTCCTCCAGATGCTTCCAGCTCTCCTGCTCCACTCTAGTCTGCAAAGATGCCACCTGTGGTACCTCTCCCTGCTGCTGACAAATTATCTACCTAATCAATTCTCTGCCATTGATCACTGAAAGCTGTTCTCTGTCTAATTATCAGAATTCTTTCCACACACCTCGTTATCAGATCAGTGATGAATCCACATCCCACAGTGCTGCAATCTCCCCTTAGTGTTCTTAGCCAGGAAAGCTTAGGTGCCTGTAAGAAATAAATCTCTCTGCTCCCCAATTCTGGGTCTTTTTTATTATTTCCCCCAAAGCTGTTTCTCATTGTCCTTTGCTGTCCTGACCATGCTGATGCCAGCATGGTGTCTTGTCCTTGGATGCTTTTACCTGGACAGTCATTGCTCAGAGGTGGTGTTGCCCCTGGGATGTTCGGAAAGCCTCTCTGGGAAAAAACGGTGACTGTGACTGTTGAATCCAGAGTGAGTGTTTTCTTCCAAATGGTTTCACATGAGGATCTTTCATCCAAGGCTCTTTTGGAGCCTGGAAACTATGCCAATGAGAAAGCACTGATGGAATGAGGGGTCAGAGGCTGGGAAACTTGGTAACTGCTTTCGTTTACCCGAGGGTTAATTTCAAATGGAAAAGGAACTCATTATGTGTTTTCCCAAAGGCTGGGTTGGCAGCAATCAGCCAGTGTGACAGGGAGGCAGATTGCAGCTCACAAGAAGGAAGGATCCCCTAAAAGTCAGAGCTACCCAGCAACATAATTGGGCACCTGAATCATCTCAGCTTCCAGAAGCTGAAAGCTCTGAATAGAAAGTAGACTTATTCCACCATATTCATAACAGACAAAACCAGAACCAACTCAAGTGTCCATCAACAGGTGAATGAACAAACAAGTCACGAAACAGACACACACATCAGCAACAGAGCAGCACTCACAGCATCCTGGTGATCAAAATCCAGCCTGTGCTCCCAAAGAGGAGCATGCTATGAATAAACAGATCAAGCAGAGAAATGCACAACAGTCCTTAAGATAAGCAATAAACATGACAGCAAATTATTAGCAACTAAAACATTAAGTAAGCATGTGTGTTTTTAAAAACTAAGCAGCATGTACTTTATCTT